CCTCGATTTACATAATGCTCTCTTTGACGGGAGACCAGCGCCTCCTCTCCGCCCTCTTATCCATGCAGAAAATGTTGACAATTTCGTCGCCCTGAGTCACTCTCTCTCTCTGATGTGCAAGCAGCTGCAGACAAGGTCTCGCAGCAACTATCCTCTGCGCCGCTGCCCGTCCACCCGTGCGATTCCTCAGTTGGCGGCACTACGCTGGGCTAGCAGTTCTCGGCGGACTCCGCCGAGGTGGGGGTGAATCCGATCATGTGCTGGAAAATGCGCCTCGCCTTCATCGAGCTCTGTCGTCGTCGGTTTGCATCCGGACGTGTTTTGGAAATCTTGTTATCTCACTACACTACTAGGTGCCTCATTCGTCGTGAACTTCTTTGCGTCTTCAATGCTACCTACGCTCTCGTCGAGCATGCCAGTGACCGTGCAAAAAAGATATGGCCGCCTGTCCTTCGTGAGCTGGGTTGGGCGAGTCATCTCATTGTCTTGGCGTATCGCGATATTGGAGCTCAGTGGGACCCTGAGGTCACGGTGGTGGATGCTTCCTCTTGGGGCCTTGGTGGTTCTTCTTATGTGGCATCGGATCTAGATATTGCGTCCTTGGGGCCCTTCAGTGAGCGCTGGAGGTTTACTCAGTCTGGGGAGGGGAGAAGGCTTTCAACCCGCGGGGCTCGGTGCTCCTCGCGCAGCGCCTTGGAGGTCACCATCGGGACTCCCCCCCTGATATTCCTGTGGGTTCCGTGCCCCCGCTTCCTGAGGCTCTGCGGGAGGCCCCCTGGGTCCTCGCTGAGTCCAGAGCCTGACGGCGCCCTGAACCCCAGGTGCGTCTTGAGGGTAGAGCGACGGTCTGGGATGTGAAGCGGAAGGTCCGGGCACTCCAGAGCTTCGGCCGAAGGCGCCTCCACCTCGGGGACTCCATGGTGCCCATCCTCGCGGTCACCAAGGGCCGATCTTCTACGAGATTGATGTTGCGAGTATGTCGTCAACACGGCGCTCTGGCTTTGGCGTCGTTCTCCGACCATGCCTGTAGATGGGCCCCGTCAGAACACAACGCAGGGGATTCTAGGTATCGTGGGAAACGTTTTGCTCTGGCCGCTGCCTCGGCTCGAGCAGCCTCTTCGGCGTTATTCACGACTTCCTCTTCGACTATCCCGCCTCCGCCGGGCATCGGGCCGCCGCGCGCCCCCAGCGCGCCCGCTCGCGACACCGCGGCCGATGCTCAGGCTGTCTGGCGGGGCTCTGATGCCCGCGAGCGGCGGGTCAGGGCCGCCGGCTGAGTGCTTGCCAGCGCCTTGGGCGTCACTGAGGCTGCCTCGCCAGACGGGGGCTCCCCGGTCAGCGAGGTCCGCCCCGCGCAAGCGACCCGCTGCGGCCTCGCGCCCCAGCCCGCCGCCCCGAGCCCTCTTGGATCGGCCAGCGCTGGAGGGGGCCCGTCGGGCCGATCGCAGCGCCGCCTGGCGATGGGCGCACCCAGCGCCCACGCCTGCGGGGCCGCAGACGGGGGCCTCGCTCCTCGAGCACAGCGTGATCAAGCCCCAGCAGCGGATGAGATACATCACGATGGTGAACGACTTCAAGAGCTGGTGCCTAGTCATGGGGGTCGCCCTGGACACCGCGCGGCAGCTCGACGTCGGCCTGGCCCAGTACTTCCACGACCTCTTCTTCAACAGCGAGGTCGTCGACCGGGCCGCAGCTCTGTTGGCTGCCCTGGCCCACCTGGAGCCCCGCCGATTGTCGCGGAAGACTCCGGAGCTTCCTCGGGCGCGGGCCGCCCTGCGGGGATCTCGGCCGCCTGGCTCCGAAGCGGGCCAGGTTGCCCACGCCGTGGGCCATCGCGGCGCTCGTGATCGTGAAGATGATCGCTTGCGGGAACGTGGACGCTGGCTGGCTGGCGCTCCTGAACTTCGCGTTATACTGCCGGCCGTCGGAGCTCCTGCGGGCCCGCCGGAAGGATCTGATCCCCCCAGTCCCTCGCGGTCCTCTACGACTCCGTCACTGGGGGATCCTACTGAATCCCCTGGAGGGGGAGATCCCGAGCAAGACGCACGCGTATACGACGAGTGATGAACGACGACCCGGACTTCAAGTCGATCGACACCGCGCTGGAGCACTTGCGGGGTCGCGGCCCACTGGCGGAGCCGATCGCAGCCGTGGACTACGCAAAGTGGACGGCCCAGTTCCGGGCCGCCGTGAACGCGCTGCCGCTTGGCCCCCTCCTGCCCCTGACGATCCACCAGCTGCGCCACGGGGGCGCCTCCCACCCGCGAGATTCACTCCGGACGTCGAGACATGCTCGGGGCGAAGAAGAGGGGGCGCTGGGACTCCGACGCCTCGCTGCGCCGATGCGTCAAAGCCGGGCGCCTCTACGAGCAGGCACACCGGCTCGACCAGGGCGCGCAGGCAGCGGCCAACCTCTGCGCGGAGCACATTGGCTCAGTGATACTGCAGCCGCGCCTCGCGCAGCAGCTTCTCGCGGGGGCCGATTTGCCCTAGAGCTCTTCGCTGGGCAGGCTCGCTGGAGCGCAGCCTGGCGCGCGTGCAAGTCTTTGTCTGGGACCCCTGTCTTCTCGATTGACATCCGGGCGGGCCCTTCCCACGACTTAAACAACTAGCGTTTGTCTCAGCGTATCCGGGGGTGGATTCGGGCGGGCCTCGTCGCGCCCCTCTGGTTGGGAATTCCGTGCGCCGCGTTTTCGGCTGCAAATCGAGAAGGGTGGCGTACTGCGCGTTATCCTTTCTTGCGTTCCTCGGCTCTCTCCCCGCATTCGTACTCGCGTGGAAGAAGGTAACTATCTGGCCTCGCTCTCTGCTGTATTATTTAGACTCGCTAGGTCTCAAGGCATCCCAGTGACCATCGAAAATCCCCACACCAGCCGGCTGTGGAAGCTTCCTCGTTGGCAGCAGCTCCAGAGGCTTTCGGACGTTGACGCCGTTGTCATCGACTATTGTTTTTTACGGGATGCTTTGGCGGAAGCGTACTCGTTTTGTTTCTGCTAATGTTCACCTCGTACACCTTCAGCGCCTTTGCGCCGGCCGCAAAGTTTGTGAATTCAGCGGCCGACCTCACATTGTTGTTCAAGGACATGATCAGTCAGGTCGGCACCGGACGCCTCAGGCGGAGCCCTGCCCGCCGAGGCTTTGTCGTCAAATCGTCGCCGCTTTCTCCTTTGGTATCTTATCCACTCTGTCTAAGCATGGGGAATAGTTGAGGGGCTGCGGTAAGTACCATGGTTTATCTTTGGAAGAAAACAGCGCCCTGGGGCTTCAAGCTATATACTGTCTATCCTGTCCAGCTTGTTTCTCTTCGGGCGCTGCGCTGCGGCACTCGTGCAGGTAAAGTTCTCCGCGCTCGCAGCACACAGATCGAATCGGCGTTCTGATGAGGAAAACGTTTCCCTGGCCTGGCAGTAACACCGGTCTCAGAACATTGATGTTTGTTCACATGCTATTGTTCTCTGGAAAGGGCGTCACGTCAAGGCCGCTTCTCTCCGTAAACATCCTGGCTTCAAGCACCCACAGACTCCGTTTTAATGCTTCAACTCTGCCTCCCCAGTCCTCCCTCTCAGCCGCCTTTTAAGGGCGAGAAGCCTACCCTGGGGTTTCAAGCTATATGCTGTCTATCCTGTCCACTGCGCTGCGGCACTCGTGCAGGTAAAGCTCTCGGCACTCGCAGCACACAGATCGAATCAGCGTTCTGATGAGGAAAACGTTTCCCTGGCCTGGCAGTAACACCGATCTCATAACATATATATATATATATATACACATACATACATACATACATACATACATACATACATACATACATACATACATACATATATATATATATATATATGTGTGTATCCGGGGGGCGGCAGGCCTGGGGTCTGGAAATCTGCGACCCCGACTCTCCATGGGGGGACCCGGGCTCACTTTCCCTATGTTTTTACAGGGTTTCCGCGTCCTGGGGCTGTCCCGGCCCCCGGGGGGGCAGGTCTGGGGTCTGGATTCTCCATGACAGAGACACGGGCAGTGACAGGCAGAGGCCGAGACAGGGGCAGCGGCAAGGAGAAGAACAGCGGCAGAGGCAGCGGCAGGAAGAGGGACAGCGACAGGGACTGACCTGGCCCCTTGTCGACAAGGGATAGCTGGAGGGAGGGCCAACTTCTGGCCCCGCGCGCTGCACCTCCCGCCCGCCCGCACCCGCCCCTCTCGGCGTGACCCAGTGGGACCCTGGCCCGTCGACCGGGGCTCCGTCGGGCAACGTCCCGCTGGTCGGCATGGATCGGGGGAACCTGCGCGGTTCTTCGGGGGCAACGCCAAGGGGGGACAGGCTCAGGGCGGGCGGGGCTGGAGGTTCGAGGCTCGAGGTGTTCGGAAGCCTCCGTCGGTCCTCGCCTGCTCTCTTGCTCCCGCTGCCTCGCCGAGGGCGTTCTGGGGGTGCACAGGTTGTCGCTGGAGGGCCGGGGCATGACCCGATAACCAGGGGGGAACGCTGCTACGCGCAGGGGAGAACGCATCGACTCCCAATCGCCCACTCATCGCCGGCAGGGGCCCGACAGCTCCACCCCGCTTAGGAACGTGAGGCTCCGCCATCGGGGGCCTATCGCCGAGCTATCGGCGGCGCAGCTAAGATGTTAAGCTCGATGCTTCCCCCCCTGAGCCAGTCCCCCCCTCCTCCTCCTCCTCCTCCTCCTCTTCTCCTCCTCCTCTTCTCCTCCTCCTCCTCCTCCTCCTCCTCCTCCTCCTCCTCCTCCTCCTCCTCCTCCTCCTCCTCCCTAGCGTTGCCCGTGATTTCTCGATCAGAAGCGCCCGCTGCGCTTTCAGATGGAGTCGATTGGCTGGGTCACGGAGGGAATCTGGCCGCAGATCGGTCCAAGCATGCCCTTGTTCTGTCTCTTTCTCCGCATTCCGTCTTCGCTCCCCCGCTGTCGCCCGCTTTCCCACCATCCCCCATTCTCCCGCCATCCCCGCCCCCCCATCGTCTTGACATCTTGCGGTGGAGAAGAACACGCCAGTTCATCAGCGCCCTCATCGTGATGAGCATGCACGCTAATCCGAACCCCTTCGTGCCCTATGTGAAGCGAGTGGACGACTTCATACAGAACCGGCTCCTGAGGCGGCCCCCACACAAATAGGCAATTGCGCACGTGCGCGCCGTCCGTCCATGCATTCTTGTGCGTATGTGCATATATATATATGCATAACTATGTATATATATGTGTATGTATGTCTGTCTGTCTGTCTGTCTGTCTGTCTGTCTGTCTGTCTGTCTGTATGTATGTATGTATGTATGTATGTGTGTATGTGTGTATGTGTGTATGTGTGTATGTGTGTATGTGTGTATGTGTGTATGTGTGTATGGATGTATGCATGTATGCATGCATGCATGCATGCATGCATGCATGTATGCATGTACGCATGTATGCATGTATGCATGTATGTATGTATGCATGTATGCATGTATGCATGTATGCATGTATGTTTGCATGCATGCATGTATGTATGTATGTATGTATGTATGTATGTATGTATGTGTGTATGTGTGTATGTGTGTATGTGTGTATGTATGTATATGTGTATGTATGTGTGTGTATGTATGTATGTATGTATGTATGTATGTATGTATGTATGTATGTATGTATGTGTGTGTATGTATGTATGTATGTATGTATGTATGTATGTATGTATGTGTGTATGTGTGTATGTGTGTATGCGTGTATGTTTGTATGGCTGTATGGTTGTATGGTTGTATGTATGTATGTGTGTACGTACGTACGTACGTATGTATGTATGTATGTATGTGTGTATGTATGTATGTATGTATGTATGTATGTATGTATGTATGTATGTATGTAAGTATGTATGCATGTATGGATGTATGTATGTATGTATGTATGTATGTATGTATATATAATGTGTGCATAAATATATGTATACATCGGAGTAGGCCAGGACCGGGTCCATAGCCACGGCCACGGGTTGGCATGGGGGCTCCGGTGGCCCCAGGGGCGCCCCTGTGGCATCCAAAGTGGCCCCGTGGGCGCACCGATGGCTCCAGGATTGCAAGAGCCGTTCACAGGACTGGTCCAGCACCGCCCGAGACCGCCGCGGATGGCTTTCGGATGGCATCCGACTGCGCCAGAACTAGAGGAACAAAAAGTTACATAAACATAGAAACTCGGAGGTCCGCGCGGATTTCTCGGATCGGCGCTGGGGCCCCCCGGCGGCGCCTCCGGCGCCGCTCCTGGCGCGCTCCGCACGCCAGGGAGGGGGGGTCCAGCGCCGATCCGAGAAATCCGCGCGGACCTCCGAGTTTTTATGTTTATGTGACTTTTTGTTCCCCTAAGAACAGCCATGTGCAGACTTCAGTGGCCACCCGAGGCCCCAGCCGAGGGCCCCAAGAGGCACACATTTGTGATGCCCGTACGGTGTTCCACCGTTTCTGGGGCCCTCTGTTTGTCGAGTTTCCGGCAATCCACGACGGCTCTTCAGGACGGGCCAAGGTGCCCCCAGGAGGGCCAGGGGCGCCCAAGACGGCCCAAAAGGCCTCACAGACGGCCCCAAGATGGGCTCAAGAGGGGGAGCATGAACCAAAATTTCCAGTCGTTCGCCGCAAGAGGCTCCCCTGAGGCTTCAAACAGGCGCCAGAACGGCCCTGGGCAGGTTCCAGTGGGCGCCCGAGGCCCCAGACGAGTGCCCCGAAAGGCAAGAATCTGTGATCGCTTCGGGTTGCTCGATATTTTGGGGGTCCTCTACTTGTCGAGTTTCCAACCATCCACGACGGCTCAAGAGACCTCCAACACCGCCTCAGGACGGGCCAAGGGGTCACCATGAGGGCCCCAGGACGGCCTAACAGGGCTCCACGACGGCCCCAGGGGCGCCCAAGACGGCCCAAAAGGCATTACAGACAGCCCCAAGATGGGCTCAAGAGGAGGAGCATGAATTGAATTTTCGCCCCAGGAGGCTCCCAGGAGGCTCCAGGAAGGCGCCAGGGCGGCCCCAGGCAGGCCTTCAGGAGGGCCCTGGGACCTCAAGAGGGGGAGCATGAACCGAAATGTCGAGTCTATCGCCCCAAGGGGCTCCCAGGAGGCCCCAAGAAGGCCCCCAGAGGTTGCCACGACGCTCCAAGAGAACCCCAAAAGGCCCCCACGACGCCCCAGAAGGTTCCAAAACGGCCCCCAAAGAGGCCAAACAACGGCCACAGGCCTCCTTCGACATCCCTCCTAACACTCTCATGGGCTTTGACCCACTACTCAGGCACGGCACGGTGGCGAGATGGGTCGAAGGCCATGCCAGTCTCTTTCGCACGCCCCCTGCGCTCCTTCTCACATTCCTTGCCGTGGCCTTCCCAGCTCCTACATATTTCGTTGTGTTACCTCACACCTCCCCCATTTCACTTCCCAGCTTCACCACCATATCAATGTTTTCGAATGGTTCAATCTGGCTGTCCTTCGGGCTTTGCAGCCTCATGCGGGGTATCCTGCAAACCGCCGCGAGGACGCCAACACGGCCCATGCCATCATGTTCCCAGAGAGCCTTCCGAGAACATGACTGTCGCAGCCAATCCGACGAGGAGAACGAAGAAGAGGAAGAGGGTGGCGCCGTCCAACCGGGCACTCTAATTCAGCGTAGCGTTGCCCGAGGAACCATTCACAGCAGAACTGGGGTCGGGCCCGCGGCCCTGCTCAGGGTGGACTTGGTGTCGAGGGTGCTGCTTGCAACAGCCGCTCTCCTCTGCGAGGCCCCCAAGAGGCCCCCAGAGGTCCCCACATGTCATATGTAGAAGAAAGCAGGAGGAGGAGGAGGAGGAGGAGGAGGAGGAGAAGGAGGAGGAGAAGGAGGATGAATAGGAGGAGAAGGAGGAGGAGGAGGAGGAGGAGGGATGGGGAGGAGGAGGAGGAGGAGGAGGAGGAGGAGGAGGAGGAGGAGGAGGACCAAAACCGGGCCCGAACACCCTCCCAGATTTCACCCAAATTTTGGCCCCCCCCGACATTTTTGACCACTTCCGGAGCTTCCCGGGCCTCCCCCCAGCCGCCCAAACGGTCCCGGAAGCTGCCAAATTGCGACCAGAGTGGCTTGTCAGGGCCGAAAACGCCCGAATGTGACGGTTCAAGAGGCCCCGAAGACATTCTAAGAAGGCTCCAAGATGCGCCCCGAGAGGGCCCCAGGAGGCCCAAATTGCTTCGTCCCATGAGCAAGAAATTTGTTTGGCGACGGACCTATCCTTGTGCAGTCACGTGTAACGCAAAGCGCGGGCTCTTCTTCATACATTGCGCGTCGCGGGGCAATGCGGAAACATGGCTGCTGCGGAGCACACGTGCTCGGGTGCGCTGAACTCGTGGGGCACGATCCTCGTGAAGGGTGTGCCGAATAATCCAGATGCCCCCGCGAGAACACGCCCACTGAGGCCGCAGGCGGACCTCCTCTGAGCACGACCCGTGCAAGGCATGTTCCGAAATGGGTGGGGGGACGCCATGCGCAGCTGCCCACTGGTGCCATAGAAGGAGCTCCTTGTGGGGCATGATTCGCGTGACGGGTGTGCCGACATGGGCGGGGGACGGTGTACGAACCTTGCCTTTGGGCCTTTAGGTGGTGTTCCTTGTGGGCACGATCCGCGTGATGGGATGTGCCGCAATGGCCGGGGCAAGGGGCGCAGTGCGAACCTTGCCTCTGGGACCGTAGGTGGAGATCCTTGTGTGCCACGATCCGTGTGCAAGGTGTGCCGAAGTAGGCTGGCGGGCGGGATGCGAACATTGTCATTGGGGCCGTCCGTGGAATTTGTTGCGGGCCACGATCCGCGTGAGAGGTGTTCCGAAGTGAGCTGGGCGACGCTATGCTATGATGCTTCCCTCTTATGCTACAAATGCAGTTACTTGCGGGGCAAGGTCCGCCTGAGGGGCGTGCCATGCTGCGAACCTTGTCTTTGGGAACGTAGGTGGAGCTCCCTGTGGAGCGCGATCCTTGTGAGGGGTGTGGCAATATGGGCGGGGGAATGCTTAACCAAGCCTGGCCTAGGTGAAGCTCCCTAAGGGGCACGATCCGTGTGACAGTATACGTCCTCCGACGATGAGGAAAACTTCAGAGTACAACTCGAACGTGCTAGAACCTCAGCTGGCTCTAGTATGTATGCATGTGCGAATGCGTGTATGCATGTATGCATGTATGCATGTATGCATGTATGCATGTATGCATGTATGCATGCATGCATGTATGCATGTATGCATGTATGCATGTATGTATGTATGTATGTATGTATGTATGGATGGATGGATGGATGGATGGATGGATGGATGGATGGATGGATGGATGGATGTATGTATGTATGTATGTATGTATGTATGTATGTATGTATGTATGTATGGTTTGATGTCTGCATGCATGCATGCATGTATATATGTATGTTTGTATGTATGTAGGTAGGTATGTAGGTGGGCACGCATGTATGTAAGAATGGTTGTGAATACATTCAAAAGCATAGACATGTATAGATAGATACCCGGGGGGCGAGGACCCGGGACTCTGACCCGAGGACCTCCCCACGGCATGGGGGGGCACTGCCCTCCGAACGGCTCCGAACGGCACAGGAGGTTCCAGACCCACGCACTGATTGGCCCAAGGGCGCCCGAAAACGCCAAGGTGCCCCCAAGACGGCCCGAGAGGCCCCCCACGGGCCCTCAGAGCGCTCCAAGAGGAGTCCCGCGAGGGCGCCCCGAGGCAAGAATCGCTAGTCGTTCAGTTGTTTGTGTTGCGGTTTCTCGAGCTTCTTGTTTCGGACGCTGCAAACGGTCCAAAAGGCCTCCGAAACCCACCCAAGACGGCCAAGAGGCCCCCAAAGACGGCTCAAGAGGCGCCCAGAGCGGCCCAAAAGGACCCCCAGACGACCCCAGTAGCGGCCCAAGAGGGCGAACGCGAATTGGCAATTCCACTAGGCCCCAAATGGCCCCCAAGACGCCCTTAGAGGCCACAAAGAGTCCCCCAGGAAGGCCCTCCAGGCCGCGGATGGGCACAAAGGGCCCGAAAAGAACACTCGGACGGGGCAGGAGGCTCCCAATCTGGCCCACGTACACCAAGAACGCTCCACAACCGCGCTTGTTTGCCGGTGCCGCTGAGCAGCTG